GGCCACCCGCGCACCCTGGTACACTACAGGCATTTCTTATGTCCATTACAAGATGTATTTCTCTGACAAAGTTGTATCGCCTTCTGGACAAAATTGGACCGTGTTCGACCATCTTTACAAATTTTTTACCGTGCACAAGCTTCAAATTTGCATTTTTTTGCAAGGTATGGTTGTATCCGCGCCAACGTCTTCTCGCGGGGCCCCCTCGACAACCACCACACCTACCTAACGCCGCCGTTGTCGCCGTCTAGACGCGCGCTCCCCGCCGCGCGGCCCTGTCCCTTTTGCCCTCTCTCTCGCCTTTGCAATATTCTTATTTCTCGCTCCGCTCCGCCCTCCGCCCCGCCCGCCGCTCCTCGCCGCGCGACACACCGTCGCTCTCCTCTAGACGTCTTATTTATGCGTCTGAAGCTTGCTGCCGCGCGCCTAATTTGAATTACGACTCTGAAGACAGACTTCTTACCCCCCGCAGCGGGGCGGGACGCTTGCATCGTGTGATTTGTGTGACCGCCAGCCAGCGTCCATTTCCTATCATTGAGAGGCTGCCGCGCTACGCTACGCTGTGCCGCGCCACGCCGCCCCCGTCCGCCTCGTAATCACATGATGTGTGGAATATGGTTTCTGTCGCGGCCCAGAGAGTGGCGTGGGAAAGCCCGCCGCGGGCCGCCTGGGCCGGGCGGTTTCTGAATGAGCGACGCGCGCGTCGAAGCGTTTGTGTGCGGGTGTGGTGTGTATATCAACAAAATGAAACGCACTCGTCGGAGACATTTGGGTGTCAAACGGCAATCTGATCTAACCGTGCCGTTTATTTTTCAAACTGCAATATTAAATATAATGTTCTGATGTGAGCCTTTGTTTTTCACCCTTTTAAGTGCTTTTGTGCTTTTGTCATACAATACAAAAGTATTTTACATTTTTCGTTCGTGAGGAGTGTCTTTTGACTTCTGTTGTTTAGTTGTGTGTGTTTTTTTTTTAATCTTCATTTTTTGCCGTGGCTCCGCGTGACCGGTTGTGTGATTGGTGCGTGAGGCATATCAGCTGATCCTGGAGTGGCCACAGTGATTTGTACTTGCTCAACGCGGCGGCGCGGTGCCCTGCTGGCGGTGCGTGGCGTTGCCCTGGCGTTGCCTGGCAGGCCTTATAGAAGGCCTCGGCTAGAGCGCGGCACTGCGCGGCTCAGCTCTCTTGGGCTGCGGTCTGTTTTGCGGGCGAGGAGCCCGCAGGAGAAATGAATAAAAAAAAAGAATCGTTCTAGTTACTGTTTTCATGGAAGCAGTATTATGAGTTCCTTAACTGTAACGGTGCGCGAAAAAAGAGAAAAGGGGG